ACGTTTCGAAGTCGGCATATATGACAAACGGAATACTTTGCTTTCTATTATAATTTTTAAATTTCAAAAACGAGCCTTGTTCCGGTAATACCGTGATAATTCCTCCACACAAGTGGGATTCAATTTGCTTAAGGGTCGGGAAAAATAATAAACAGGTTTCACAAAAATATAATTTACCATGATGTTTGGTCATCTGATTTCTAACTAACCGAGATAAATCCTTGATAAGACAGTAATGAGAATTATTATTGTTTTCTATAAACAGTAGATGGATACTCTTATTACACTTATTATTCAACGTTGTATACAACGGCCCGATAATTGTCTTCTCATTTTTTAAACCATACACAAATATATTGACAGAAGGATTATTTTTCTCAAAGATAGCTATGTCCGAGAATGTAATTGGAAATGTTAAATTATTAACATTTAAAACATCCTGAAAGTGTGGATAAGACGAAATTCTATCAGGGTGTTTGTTTGTGGGGTACAGCGCCGCCACAACACACCACAAAAAGCAATACCCATCATTGTTCCGAATATTCAAACAAGCTCTTTTACTTTTTATGAATTTCGGCAAAGTAAAAAATTTAGATCCGCTGAGTGGTTGATATTTATAAATATTTAATTCTAAGTGCGAATTGCCTAAAAAGGTCCAACCACTATCTCTTTCCTCGAATTCTTCAATTTTTTTTAATAGTAAGTTAACAGTTAATTTATATATAGAATCAAAATCGTAATTATAGTGTGTAATAAAATTGTTTGAACGGAATGATTTTATTTCTTGTTGGTCATTTTTATACAAAAGAAACGAAGCAAACAGTTCGAAGTTTATTTTGACAGAGGTGTGTTTCTGAATTGATTTATCTATTAGATGCTTGACTTGTGTACTTATACTATTAAGAAACATCTCTGGAAAACTTTGTATTTGTTCACCTATCGCTTTGATTTTATAACTTATAATTCGTTCTTTAAAAGAAGAATTAATAATTTCAACATTATCATAAATAGGGGTAGAACTATTGTTTTTATGTACATTGCTACGTAAATGACTGGACCAACGACGATTATCTACAAATACTTTGCAATCAGAACAGTGAGGCATTATGTTATTGTTTAAATCAAAGATTACTATAATTACTTCAATACAATTAGATTACGTAATACTTACAAGTAATATTCACGGTCTTAGGTGTATTGTTACAAAATATTTTATAAAATTAGTACAACTTGATATTCATTCCAGGGTCTTTGTGTAATTTTATTCACAGGCAAATCGGTAATAATATTCATGCGGTATGTATCTGAAATAAAAAAAATATGCATTAGGTACTTTATATGATTAGTAGGTAGGTTACGGTACGTTCCGAGGAAAATAATATATCTAATAATTACCTGCTAAAAATGAAATGTTTCGTACATTAGAATATGTATCTGCGTGGCCCAAATAATAATATGTTGATAAACTTCAGGTAATTAAATACTTTTGCAAAGACAAGTTATTTGTTTGGTATCTGAAATTAAAAAATGTTTAATTTATTAGGTACTAATAAAAAATAAGTATATAATTGTAAATTCTAAGTTGAAATTGAGAAAATTATTATTATGTTCTAATTGTTGATAATTACCTGCACAATATGTAATGATTCATACATAAGTATGTGTGTAATCCAAATATGTAGATTATGTATTCAGGTCCCGAAATTTTTTTTCAAAAGAAGATTTTCGTATATACTTTCTTGTGTGCGATCAATCAAATATTTAAAAAAAAATTACAGACAATTTAGAAAGGTGCTCACTACGAGAGAGGCCTTTAAGGTAATAAATAATATTTTAGGCTATATTTTATTATTATTATTTTTTGTCTACAAATCATAAAATATTTCATCATAAAATTTGTTATTACCCAATAGTTTACACGTGTGCGAAACCTTATTACTTATTTCACAATCGCAATAATCAGCTATTTTAGTCAGGGTTGGCAATAACTCGGTAGCAATCTATATATTAGCAATATACAAATTTTACACTAAATACCATTTATATCTATCATAGTATATCGAGAAATAATTATTCGCATGATTTTATGGTGGTTGTTGACGTAGTTAAAGGAATTATGTATTTATGTTTTAAGGAAATCTACACAATAAGTTTATATTTTCTAAGCTAGACTTCGTTTAGTTTACTCTTCATTGCACCTAAATACATTTTAAAACAGTAATACAGAGAGTTCGTGAACAACGGTGTACCTAAAAGTTAAATACAAAATTAGTACCTAAGAGATATTTACTAAATTTAAAAAAAATAAAAACAATGTAGTGTATGACAAATCCGTGCACGCTATCGTTTGGTCAGCCCTAGGTCATTTCGCTGCATCGACATTGTTGTTACAGCGAAAAATGATACCTATGTCTTCATTTACAAATGTGTATAATACGACTATAGAAAAAGTAACTTTAATACTGCAATACCAGATTGACTTTAATGGATTTTAACATGCTTGACTTATAATTCAATTTTAACTTATAAGCTACAAGTATTCGGTACATAATATTCGCAGTCTTCAAAGTGCAACGAAGTGTTCTGATATCAACAGTATACAAATACTCCGAGTTCCTTACAATATCGGTGACAATATAGTTACTGTCATCACCAACCAAATCACCAAACCAGGCGGAACTTCTGATTGAAAAATGTAAGTGTATCAATAATTATTATTATATCTATTATATCAAAATATTCTGTTCATTTTCATCGTTCGTACTTGTGATCCGCTTGTTAATTTATATGTTTGTTTCAACCGATCTGCCACTACAGGTAAATTCTCAAGCAGCGCTATTTCATTGGAATATGAGAGAACCAGTATTTGTCCAAACACTTGCCCTGCGCAATGGATATTACTCCATTGGCATACTTAAATAGTAATAATTGTATGACTAAATTTAGCCTTCTTATCTTTATTTCAGGTCAGACTCAGAGTGTGAATACTCAACAACATCGATCAGCACTGGACAAAAAGCAAAATCCTGCCGCAAACCGTCCGCAGAAAGCAATGGGAAACGCAAGATACAGTCACATACAACATCAGCTCGAGCAAGGTAACTAATATTTTTCATAAACTATCCACCTTTGGTTAAATTATAAAAGTAAATTGTATGGACACGTATCTACCATTTGAATTACATATAATCTTTTAGTTATACATAGGAGAGGAGCATTTTCTAAGGAAATATCTGAGCTGTCTTTCATAAAATATTAAATTATATTTTTAACCAAGTTGATAATATTTTTCCCCCTTGTACTTCTCGTACTAAACATTAACTAATAACATCTTTTTTTGTTTCAGTAAGAAAACCAATACTGACAGCGACATATTCGGCATCAGTAAAAACCGCAACATCCCAAACAAAGAACATTCACTGGATCATCTAACTTCATTCATTGTAAACCGTGTAGCCAGCGGCTGCGAGCGTCGCGCAACGACCACCGATGGAGAGTTCTACATCGACTGTAAGGTATACAAGACTGAAGATGCTCGCCTTACCGACTCCGCTGAGCTGTGGAAGAAAGCACTCATCCGAATGAAGTTCCAGACTGATGTCGACTCTCTACAGTGGCGAAAATTACAAGAGCTCGTGCAGGCGACTGATATTTTGTTTCCAGATAAGCCAATGTTTTATGATAATTAAACGAAGTAGCTAATTTATAGTCGTTTCTTATTTACACTAACAAACCTTTACCGCTTTGGTTACAAGTTAATTTTATATTTTTTTTATTACACACTCACACACATACACACACCAACATCAATCGCCATCGCCTTTTGACATTCGGTGTTAACAGCGAATGCAAACTCGATCGAGTGATCGGTCGGGTAAGCAAGTGGATAGTAGAGTAGCTAATTTTTAACGAACGATAGTAGTACGGAACAAGTTACTCGTTCCTAATCAAGTACGCAACACAATGAACTGTTCCGTTCGAATTTATCGGTCGAGTAAAGAGTCGAGTCGCTTATTGGTTATTGGGCATTCTATTCCACTATCGGTAGCGAGGCGCACTCGCCGAGCGACTTGCCGATAGTGGAATAGAATGCCCAATAACATACTACTTATTAGCACCCTGCTTACTCGGGCCTTGGAGACAGCCCACCCCCAGTTTGGGGAAGACAAACTCCGGCAAAGTATTCCACTTCTTAGCCGTTCTAGTGAAATTGGAGGCCAATCGCTTTGTGGATGGGATATACACCATGAAGCGATCACGTAGATTATTTGTTGATGCGATGGTAGAAAGGGCTAAGAGGAATCAAATTATATAGTTACTTTGTACACTCCTTAAAAAGTATCTGAGTTCTAGGGTAATATCGGGTAAAGTATGTTTATGGGTTATGATAATGGAACAGTAGCGGAAGAGAAGTTACATGCCCCCCTCTTTTTGGGTTATAAGTGTTGTAAGGAGTAAGTGAATATTAAGTAGCCATAGGTTGTAAGAAAATAGTCAGTCAAGGCAGAAATTGATATCCAATTTTAATCTAAAAGACTTTCGTTTTTTATTTAATCTTTAAATAACTATAATAAATAAAACAGTTGTATTTATTTATATAACATTGCCTCAGACCAGGATTTTCTCCTGTCATGGGTGCGTTTATAAATATGGAATTTCACATACACATCACTCTCAGACTTCGTACAACAATTTGTGTATCACACGAAGAGTTGTTCCGTGCGGGAATTGATTTTGCAACGTGTTGCGCGTTTGACAATTGACGGACAGGTATCAGGTTCATATGTATCAGGTTTGGTTATGAATTAGTGTATGTAGATATACTACTACTACTTTGCGGGGTAAGCGGCACTGCGGCCTCGGCTTAAAGTAGGAGAAGGAAGGGGAGTTTAGTCAGTGAGAGTCTGACACTCTCCCTTGGCGGGAGAAGTCATTTGATGATTTCACTCTGACAAAAAAAACTAGTACTATATACGGACTGTAGTGTGTGTGGGAGGTACCTCGTGGTTCCCGTGGCAGCGCTTGGTGGTGAGCACGACGCAGGGCGGGCAGTCCCCGGCGTGGCAGGCGTGGTGCGGGGCGTGGCGGCACGCGCGCGGCCGGCCGCACGGCGCGCTGCACGCCGGCGGCCGCGTGCCGCAGCGCACCGGCGGGAACAACACCTCCGCGCCGCACGAGCACGACAACTCCGAGAAACCTGGACACATGCACTACCTTAACCCACATTCTCTATATTACCTCTATACTAGGAACTATGCTTCTTGTGTTTATAATGTCTTTAATCGTTTCGCACTGCAAAAGTTCATTAACATTACAAGTACAAGAAACTTGTAATTCCGTCTTCTTATCTATTCTTTTCTCTTTACGAATCTCGAATAGACCAATACTAAGTTGGGGAAAGGTCTTTTTACGTTTTAATATGCATGAGCTTGTAATAAATCTCTTTGGCTATAAACTATTTGCACCTGGCTGTTTGAATATAATTCCAAATTCAAATTAGGAAAATGTGTGATTTTATTTTTATTTGTTTTTTGTACTATACACAGATTTAAGTTAATAATACTTTACTTAAATGTAAATAAACGACATTAAATGTAAATAAACGACAGTAAATGTAAATAAACGATATTAAATGTAAATAAACGACATTAAAAATGTTTTCTTGAAAAATGCAACGACACTTTCCCCCAACCTGTTATTACGTACCTACATGCAAGTTTCATAACAATAGTTAAAAAAAATATATATAAATACTATTGAGCAAAAGCTAGTTGCAGATAATTCGACCCAGCTTGATTTTACTTGCTGTAATGGCCCCGCTAAGCAGAGGTTAGAATTCCACAGGGGGTGCTCTCAGCGATGCTGTCATTTAGTTTAAGTACATTTTCTTGCCCTGGCTGGGGGCCTTAGCTTAGAGGTCACCGCATCAATAAAAAAGCTATGGTGAGATACGTACTGAACCTGGGGCAGGGCGCGCAGTGTCCGGTGTGGCAGAAGTCCTCGCAGCGATGCAGCTGGCAGGCGAGCGTGCGGCCGCAGACGACGGCGCAGCGGTGCGACGTCGCCGCGCAACACACCGTGCGGCAGCGGTGCCGTCCGCACGACAACTTCTGCACGGGCAACCGAAACGTACATTTATTGAGTCCTTTTACGACTAGACAAACTCGTATATTTTAAAACGTAGAAAATCTACTGTTTTCTACGATTTTTAACGAAATTGTGAGTTGTGACTTTCTGTTGTTTTGATGACAAATAGTATAGTTTAGTACTGTGTCCAACGTAATCGAACGTTCTCTAACAAAACTGTGCGTTGTGTTGTGACTTATTTATTGAAAATTTGGTAGAATAATACTAATATTCAATGCATCATAATTACAATTATTCATAAAAATGACCCAATATAGTTAATTACTTAGCGAAATCTGATAATTTTATTTAACACTTCATTCATACATAGATAGGTACATAAAAACTCGTCCAATGACACCCATTAATGTTTTTACAATTTCAATAAAATTTTTACCAAGGCATGTCAATAAAGTTTAGGAATTTACTTACATTTGAATTACTTTAACTAAAACAATATGTGATGGTACTTAAATATATTACAATGAAGTGAAATATACCTTGTTGCACTTCTTCTGGCAGAGGACATTGTTGTACATCTGCGGGAGGTCGACACACGGCACCTCGCGGCTAGAGTGCCCACAGCGACATTGCAACACTGTCTTATCCGGGCACTCAGGGCACGGACCTGGGGGATAACATTTATATATTAACAAATATTACAAATGGAATCTATAGCCATTCTACAAATACGGTAGTTTCCAACTAGTTAAATTCAATACTTTTATCCAAATGTCAAAAACTATACTTTTTGTATGAAATTTGTATGAAAAACCGAGTCTATAGTCTATGTCATAGTTTTTTTTCGGCAAATAGCTTACTTATTTCTGAAAAATTAGCTATAAAATATCTAAAATTCAGTGTATCGATCGATTGATGAATAAAAGTATAGTTATTTTTAATATTTTTCGTCGAATTAATTTATTTTTGACCTGGGAAACTACCCAATTGTAGTAATAAAAAATGTCACAAACGAAACCATAGTGATTCTATTCTCCAGCCAGCAGGTGCGGAGACTAACACCCGGTTTCTGAAAGGCTTGTCAACGCTAAATCTCTTGTCAAGTCATCTGATTGGTTGTTGATAATTCAGTCAACCAATCAGATGACTTGACAAGATATTAAATTGATTTTAACATTGATCGGCCTTTCGGAAACCGGGTGTAAGACATAGTATAAATATTTGTATGATCTCTCTTCTGTAATCGGCTATTAATAGAGCAGTTGAATGTTAAAGAAGTTGTACAAATTCTATGGGAAGCAACGCTAAATATAAAGAAAGAAAGAAAAAGGTGTTTATTCAGAATCTGACACGAAGGCCAGGAACAAAAAAAAATCAATAAAAAGTTTAAAAAAGGAACACAAAAACAAAATTAATCAAAATAATGACAGTAAAAAAGACTATTAATAATGGAAAAAACATAGGAGAGTATTTCTTAAAAAAATATAAAGTAAGTAATAACAAAATTGTTGCACAATATTAGTGACTTATTGTATGATTCATAATAATATTATCTTTGACATATCTTAGATCGTATCGAAATGACAAAGAACACTTAATATTGGGCATTATAATGTTTAAAGGTGGGATGTGGATAAATTAACAATATTTACATGTTGATATCAGATGAAAATGGTATCTGCGATAATAGAGATGGCTATGATTTTCTTTCCGTCGTCAACAGTATTTTAAAATATAAGACCCTTTTTATTCCATTTTAGAACATTTAATAAGTAATCTGTGGTAACATAACGAGCTCCCACTTCTTAACTGTAATTCGTTTTATTTAAGTACTTATTGTTTTGTTATACAACAAAAAAGTATAGATAATGTTTTTTGAATTTCTTACAGATGGACAAAATAGAAAATAGATTTTGAATTTTCATACCGTGTCGTCATTGCATTCCACAATGTAGGCTTAGGTAACATAATTAGGTATATAGGTAAACCCTGTTGGGCACAGCAAAAGATAATTTAATTTATTTACGAATAAATGCAGTTTTTTTCTTTTCTTTATTTCTGGTAGCATATTTTTTTATTTACGTTAACGCGATCTAAAGTTTATTACGTTTAGCCTTCTGATTGGTTGGTTAACTTGGAGAGAGCCAATCAGAGCGCCGAACGTCATAAACTCACAATAAGCGTCTGTTTTGTCAGCATAATTAAACAAAACTTACCTTCATGGCAATTCATCTTGCAGAAGTGCTTGTCTCCGGCCGGACCACACGACAACGGTTTCGCACAGATGTTGCCACACAACGGGATTGGGTCAGTGCAGCTCTTGCGAGAATCCTTAGGCAGCCTAAACACAAATAACACATATTGATCCTAAGTTTGTGTAAGGCTGTCATTTTTATACATTTTAAATTCATAAAAAAAGTGTATGTATATTGTGGGAAATTTAAAGAAACCACTTATAAAAAAAAACTACTAGTTTTAAGTGACAAGAGGACTTTTATGTATGTGTAATAAGCGCGTAGTGGATACGCTACGCAACTAAACGGTTGTTTTGGAAACCAAAGATTGGTGATGGTTGTTGTGCACATGATTACGAACCTCTGAAGTGGCTTGAAACTATTCGAGTCACGGCTTGACCGGAGTGATACCACGGCCTTACAGAAAACCCGCGTGAAACAATCACAGCGTTATGTGTTCTTTCTCCTCCTTATCGCTAAATACCCAAATTCTAATCCCTAAAAGTTCGGCAACGCACTCGTAACTCTTCCGTAGTTGCGTATGTCCATGGAGGGCGCTGATTGCTTACCATCAGGTAATCCGTGTGTTCGCGCTAAATGAAAAAGATGTAGATGTTTACTTGGTGTTCCCGCAGGGGCAGGTGGTGACGTAGTCGGGCAGCAGTTGGCAGGGGAGGCAGGGCGGCGCGTGGCAGGGCGCGCGGCAGACATGCGCGCCGCACGCCAGCACGCGGCCGCAGCCCGCGCCGCACGACCACTGCGCCGCGCCCCCGCACTCCGCCGTGCACGACACCGACCGACGCTTCGCGGCAGGGCAGTAGCACACTGCATGTACAACAACACTTTACTTTGTCATGTACATAATGAAAAATATACCTTTACCCGATACCACGGTAAAAAGAAGTCTATCGTCATTCATATTGCAATTTATTCAACATGAAAAAAAAAAGATTTATTGAGCTATAATTTTAATTTTCAACGCGACCGAAAAAAATGCACAAAAGTTAGGAGATATTTGTTAAAAAGCATTTTTTTTCACTTGTCATTTTTGACATAGAACTACTTGCTTTGCTTTTGATATGAACGACGCTATGAGTTATTCCAGACTAGTCTTTCGCTGTGCCAAATCTCATTCAGGCCCGTTAAATAGTTTTTATGTTAAAAAAAAACATAATTAAATCAAATCAAAATCATTTATTCCAACTAAACCATAAATAAGTACTTTTGAAACTTCAAAATAGAATAGTAGTCTATCAGTCTGTTCGTCAGTGAAGCTAGGTTAATACATTCATCTATCCATATTTACAAACATTCGCCATTATTGTATTAGTTGGATTTACGTAAGGTTTGGCTGAGAATCAATAAAATAAATTAAGATTAACTACCACATATCTACTGCCAATTTATAAACTCCTTTTAAAGTTTGCTTTAATTCTTACATTTGGCAGGAACAGGTGGAGAATATGCTCCACCTTAATACATACCAGAATAAACTCCTCCGTTTTCGCAGTCGATTAAAAATTAGCCTGTATTCTTTATTATCAATTGCAAAATTATAAATACTAGTTTGTTTATTAACCTGCTGTTATACTGAACTACTGGATCAGATTAAAGACATTCTTATGTTAGATCGTCTATTTATAGCAGTAAGAAGTAGCGAGCCCATAATATTAGTGGAATTAAAGTAGTATACCTTGTTCCACTGTCTCAGTGCAAGTTTCGCAAGGCCCTTCATGACAGCTCTGGGTACACTTATGCACGCCACACTCCAAGGTACGGCCACAGACGCGACCGCACACTTGTGGCAACTTACTGCTGCATAGAACTGAGCGGTTCTCTGCGCCACAACCACAGGACCTGAGAAGAGAATTATTGATTATTGAAAAAAGTCATTATAAACATGCATAAGATTTAAAGGAAACGAAACATGCTCGTAATGGAAGCTTAACAGCATCTTGTAAGGATATAAAGTAGTGTTTCCCATAGGAAAATGACGTGATATTCTGCATTTTTAAATATAAATAAATTTACAACGTCTGATTGATGAAAAAGAATACATCGAGTCAACCTCAAGGAACTCGGAATTAAAGTCAACAATAAACAAAAAAGCATTATCAAATACTTGTGAATTTGTGTTTACCCAAATGAATGAGTCATCAATATTGTTGAATGAGTCATCATGTTGGGCATTGTGCAATATATATTGTGCTTATATATTGTGCAATAATACATTTCAGCTAAGGTACAAACTCTTATTTATATTTCTGAATATTTTCGGCATTGATCGTCGCATAGTCATTGGTTTTTTAAATTCTCATTTTGTAGGCAAAAATGATCTAAGAAGAAAAGTCTAGCAGACAACATATTATGCTCATATGTAGTCTTGACTTTGTCTGATGAGGCGAAAGATGATAAGATGAGTGTAGACATTAGATACATACTTCATAATAGTAGCCTGGCATGGTGGACAGGGTCCCGGGTGACAGAGCAGCGTGCAGGGGTGGGGACAGGATCTCGGACGGCGACAGGAGCGCCCGCAAGTGTGGGCGCCAACGGAGCCCCGCTGGTACTCGGGCGTCCGCACAGCCCCACACATACAGCGGTAATCCGTCGGTATAGTCTCGTTTGTGTTCTGACAAGCTGGACACCGCCATTTACCCTCTAAAATAGAAAAATATATAATTTATTTTTATTCAGTAATAATCTAATTTAATCTTATTTTTATTTGGATACAAATTAGGAAATTAGGTATATTGGCAGATCAATATAAAACGAAAGCTTAGAATTCAAATAAACTGGATTTTAGTGTAAAAAAAATTGTACATTATAATAATAAATGTACAGGAATGTGAAAACTTTAGGACTTACATGACGCATGTAAGGTGCCGGGGGACATTTTTGTTTTATAAGACGAAATTTTATATTTCAAGTGTAGACTATGTCATATCCAAATGTAGCATATTTAAAAAATGCTATCTTACTCACCGACCATGCTGCTCATCGCCCATTTTCGTATGCACCTAAGATGCAGGACGTGGTAACAGTTGCTACACGACCAAACTGGATCATATTGTTTCACTCGTTCACAGCAGACTAGACATTCCAGCGTTCCTTTATCCAGCTGTTCCGTAAGACGCTCGCGTTGGGTCATTTCTTTGCTAACTAAATAGTAAAATTTAATTAAAGGTTGGTAGACTTGTCTATAAACAATTTTCGAAATTCAAAAATGTACTAACCTTGCTCATTGTAAAATCGTGCCTTAGACCTAGCAGGACTGGGAACATGTTCAGACTTAGACGCTCTTTCCTTCTCTCTGTTATCTCTTTCCCTTTCTCTATGTTCTCTCTCCTTTTCTCTATTTTCTCTCTCCCTTTCTCTATGTTCTCTTTCCCGCTCTCTGTGTTCTCTATCACGATCGCGAAATTCTCTTTCCCTATCTCGGTCTCGTATATCACGCTCCCTATCTCTATCCTTTTCACGCACATCACGTTCTTTATCTCTATCCCTTTCTCGCACATCACCCCTGTCTCTATCTCTATTTGATTCTCGCACATCTTTCTCTCTAATTGGATGATCTCTATCCCTGTCCCTGTTATCTCTTTCCATTCTATCTGCTCTATCTTGCAAATATGTGTTGGCATATTGCTCATCTTCTGTGCTGTTTCGTTCCATTGCGCGGAGACGAGGAGTGCCCACCCAATTCTTTCCCCGTCCAGAAGATTCCCCTCTTCCATTCCTCACATCTTGACTGTCTTTACTTATAGAACTGTTGTAAAAGGTGCGGGCGTCATCTTTAGATTTTGCTTTATAATTAGACTTTCCTTGGCCTCTTTTGTTGCTTGTATTCTCATAGTTACGGTTGGTGGCTTCATAGGTTCGGCTACTAGAATCCTGCTGTCGCCCATTTGATTCAAATTGTTTGGATTCTACCTCATGGTTACGACTGTTGGCATCTTGGTTACGACTGCTAGAATCATGCTGCCTTGCATTAGATTCATTGTTGCGATGGCTATTATCTCGGTGACGGCCATTGAATTCTTGATTTCTTGTGGGTTCTTGTGTGCGTTGGTATGATTCAGTTTTGTGGCTTGTTTCATTACCCTGTTGTGAGCTCTGAGGCCTTTCTCTCCAGTTTGTGTTAGATGAACTACCAACAACACTGCGAGGTTCACTTGTGTTGGAGTAATTATTCCTAGACCCGTTAGAGTTATTGTATTGATTCCTAGTTTCATTTACATTACTATAATTATTTCTAGATTCATTATCATCACATACAGTACTAGATTCAGGAATGTTCTGAGTGCTAACTGAAGGTTTCATCATAGAACTTTTTGGCACAAACTCAGTGGCTGTTGGTGTGAGATTGGATTTCAGTATCATAGCATTAGTATACATATTAGGATTGTTTGCCACTGGAGTATATTGACTTTGCATGTTCATAGAGTAGGATTCTGAACCACTGGGAACATTGGAAGCTTGTGCTGCATATCCATAATTTTCTAATTGAGGATTCTGGGCAGTCGTAGGTATATTCTGGTAATTGTACTGACCTGTAGGGTAGTTTTCATATTGAACATTGCTATAGTTGCTAGTACTGGGTGCTCCATTGTTTTGCATTTGAGAAAGAAATTCATTAAAGCTCACATACTGATTAGCTTGGTCCGCTCTGTTGGGGTAGTAGCCTTGGTTCACATATTGGACATTGGGATCACCGTTCCAGGCTTGGTATTGGTTGTTGTATGCGTAAGTATTGTTCCACTGAGACATGTTTACGGTATAACTAAATATAATATTATGAAATAGTTGTGTTATATTGGAGGAAATATGGCTAAGAATTTTTCGATTATGCGTCTTTTTTTTGTGGTTACGGTGTTTTTAAGACCGCAGGCCGAAGCCTGAGGTCGAGAGTTATTCGTGTAACACTACCTGAAATTATTAAAACGGGTAATTTGTTATCAAATCCGAGAACAACCGACATGTGCCACTTTCTAAATTATTAGATGTTATTGTTCACTTACCACTAGCTAGGTTTTTCTATCAATACTTTTTTGTTAAAATGAACTATAAATTAATAAAAAATAAACTAAAATAATTTAATAATTCGTAAAATAAGCAATAACTTTAGCGATATGACAAGGATGATTCGGATTCGGAAGAAGGGTGGAGGGGGAGGTTGGGTCGACGTTGACAGTACCGTACGTAGGTAGGTTTTTATAGTGCAACATTCGGATTTAGTCGATTTGATAAGTTAAAAATAGAATATCTCAAATAGAATCATAATTTTTTTCTGGTTTTTTGTTAAATAATTAAATATTCAGGAAACATTGCTATTTTGGCACTTCCTGAATCAGGAGCCCATAGCACTCAGGTTCTCCTTGTTAGGTTTCCTCATTTTCATGTAAATACTTAAGCTTAGATTAAGAACTGAATGTTTGTCTCAAAGAGTATGTAACCACTACGTTTGGTTTGTCTAGCACAGCGTGTCGTGTTGTGCCAGAAAGTATGACAAGGGATGAGATACTTAGGTAAGTCCAAAGAGTAAAGAAGGTAATATAGTGCTTACGTCATACGAAACGTCAGCCAAAGACAACAAGGCAAGGGCGATAATAGCGACATCTGTTGAGATGAGTGACTCCACATATAAAAAGCGGGAATTTTTTTATTGATTTTAACACTTTCGTGGCTTTTGGTAATTAAAAAGAAAGAGAACAAAATAAAAACTATTTAATTGCATGTATACATTCGACACACGCTGTTGCTTAATTTTTTGTAAGTTGTGGTTGGTAATTAATTCGAAGCAAGCGAAGATAAGTAGGTAAGTACCTATAACATAGTTTAGATGTAGCATTATTTTGTAATTTGTAGGTAACTTAATGTGTTAAATTGAACTCTCAATTAATACTAGAATACCCAAATAAAATTATAATTTAAAAGCCTTGTGTATTCTTAGCTATTGTTTTAACCTCAGTGGGGGTTTCGATTTTCTTTGAAATTACTTATAAGATACGAAAATCTATAATTAAGTTTAAAAGAACTTATTAAAAGTCAGATTTCGAAAGATTAATGTATATTTTATTTGTAAGTAGGTATATGAAATTATCAACTCGCCCGTGTGCCTAAATTACTATTCCTGCTACAGGTTTGACGATCATAATAAAATAACTTCTCCCGCCCTGATGAGACGAGAAGGAGTGTCAGAAGACGCCGTTAACAATTTCACAAACACACCGCATCCAGACCTGCAACAACAATCACAAAGAGTTGTTACGTGTGAGAATCGAACTCGCTCCAACAATGCAGTAAATTATCTATACTATCGATACTAATATTATAAAGAAGTAAAATTTGTAAGTTTGTATGTAGGGGGTAATCTTTAGAACCGCTGGTCGGATTGCCAAAATTCTTTCACTGATAGTTAGCTACAATGTTCCCGAGTGCTATAGGCTATAAAACATGAAGCTACGATTAAATGGAGCCGAGCAGCGGGTGAAACCGCTCGAGAGTAGCTAGTAAAACATAAGTAACTACCTATTTAAAAAAAAGACGTTGTCCCACGCACGCTAGGCTTTTCTCCTGTGTAGTGGGTGCGTTTACAAACATGCAATTTTCCACACATCACACCTAGACCCTTAACAACAATTTTGGGGTCACACAAAGGGTTGTTCCGTGCGGGAATCGAACCCACGACACGTTGCACGGTAGCCAGTTGCCCAGCCACCGCGTCAACCGCGTAAAAAAGATTGACATTTTATTTTATCATCCGACATCTTAAGCCATCAAAGCCTTACTATTGTGTCTCCGAGAGACGATATCCGGCCACGGCGCGGGTCTGTGGACGGCGAGTAAGGGTAGCTCACCGCCCGACCAGAACCAGTTCAGTCGGGGTTCCGGGGCAAGCGCAATAAGTCACTGCGGCCTCGGCCCAGAGCAGGAGAAGGAACGGGGGGCTTTTTAGTCAGTAAGAGTCTGACACTCTCTCTCGCCTAACCCTGGGCGGGAAAAGTCATTTGATGATTTTCCTCTGACAAAAACAACTATTATGTCTTGAACTCATTACCACGATTGGATGGTTAAAACATGACATGAATACCATACATAAGATCATACAAATTCGAAGTTTGTTCTAATAATAAGTAAACTTTTCATTTATTACTGAAAATTAAATATTTTATAACCTTGAAATGAAATAACGATCTTTAGAAAATAGAATCACAAAGGTGAACTATGAATCGGCCAGTATCGAATCTGGTTTTTGCTTCATGGTCCAAATAGATACCTTCGATTTGCTTAGTCACTGCTTTGCGTTCCTAGAGTAATTTACTGAGTAAAATGTTTGAATTGGTATCGCGAATCATGATATGTAGTGAAACACGGGTATGACACGATGATCGTATCGTGACTAATTAAGTGTATACTATTATGTTTTATCACGCCGATGTTCGAAGCCATTCTAATAGATATGATAATTTTGAAGCAAGTGAAATCGGTTTTGCAAGCAGTCCCGGCGCATGGGCCACTGACACCCCGAGCGAAAATATCGTGGCGCCCACTTGAGGGAAGCAATATCAAGTGTTAATTTTTTTATCTGATCCCAACTAAAATAAAAAATTGCATATGCACAGAGCGTAGAGTATAGTTCTGAGGGTGTTTGCACTAGGAGAGGCAAGAGACTCGAACTTCAGACCTTGGCGCCCCCCACAATTTGTCGCCCTGGGCCATATGGGTCGCCCACGCCGGGTCCCTAACGCCGGCACTGTTTGCAAGATATTCCAACCTATATTCTATTTGTGGGGCCATATAGGGCTGATGTACAGCCAGCGTTGTGGGGCAAGCGGAATAAAGCATCGCGGCCTAGGTCTAGCTAGAGCAGGAGAAGGAATGGGGGGTTTTTAGTCAGTAAGAGTCTAAACGTCTAAACTAAACTAACTAAACGTCAAGCCTACCATACCAAGGTATTTAAATACGCATAATTATATGTTGTAAGTAAGAGTTTGAAACTCCCTCTCACCCCACCTTGAGCGGGAGAAGTCATTTGATGATTTCTCCTCACAAAAAAACGCTTATATTCTATTACGTGTATAGCTTATACTCTATCTATGGCGTGATAGAGTAAGAAATGTACATACATTAATCAATTCATCCTCACAAACCCTTACAAAATCTACTATTAAAAGTGTTATATTGGAGTAGGAAGGAGTGTAAGATAACGATAGGTCAGGACTTCACCATTGACCGGAATACATTGACTTAATTTGACGGCGGTATTCTGTGACGCCTTGGTTTGACGCGTTAGTACTCTGATCTGGCTAGCATATTTGTGCAGAAGCATCTTCATCCGTCACAGTAGTGATCACTGAAAAGTTAAATTAAAAGACGCTTCTCCCACAGTGGCTGGTTTCAATTTAACTTCATTTTTATAGCATTGATATTCAACACGGTGTCATTTTGTAACGGGATATCAGGTAGTTATTTTATTACCAATATCTTTACCACCTTCATATTTTGCGTACATCCTAGTAATTAGTGTAAAAGGGCTTATAATGATCGGTGCCGTGGCACGCGCCGTCCTATTGTATGCGAAACGATCCCTTTGAAACCGTGAAGAATGTAAGCCACTTCGTAGTAACCTTGGCCGGCTTAACACCATTATTCCACTGGGTATTTAGAAGCAATATAAACCTAAGTGTGTTTAGTGATGGTGAACGTGGTGGGCATGGGGTGCATGGCAAGTTCACAGAAAATTAGCGTGACTACTGTGAGTGGTGTTATTTTTACAATTATAGATCTATTTGTACATATCATTTAATATAAATGATTGCTTTTAATTTAAAGAAACTTCGTAATCCATGGATGTAGAAGGTTTTGTGTAACATTTTTGTTTTTTGTGGACCTCTGAGGTCCAGATAACAAGGGTCTTGGAAGCTTTGGACTTTCAATCCAAAACGCAAGTTTCTTAAAGGTACTTTTTTTTAACTGTCCAGTATTCTGAACCGATGAAGTTGAGCAAAACATCGTCACTGAGGTCGAATAGGAATGAGACTGTGCTTGCAGCGTTAACCAGGATTGATGATGAGATAGCGAAAAGTGAGAAGAATCTGCCAGGAGCCAGGCTCGCTGTCGTTGCAGCTGAGCTGGAGAGTATACAGCTAGTAGGTAGAACCTGACACTTATTTTTGTGGGATAGTCATCACTTGAGTGAGAATGACTTCTCTCGAGGACCTTGGAAAGCCGAGAGGGAAACAGGTGGTCTCAGACTCTTACTGACTAACCTCGTTCCTCCTCCTGCTCGGTCGAGGTATCCTGAAATGTTACACGATTACATAAGAATAACTATGCTGCGTACAAGCCCTAATCTGTTGTTTTTCGTGAGTGGAATCAAATCATCAAATGACTTGTTCCGCCCAGGGTTGGTCGGGAGTGAGTGTCAGACTCTTACTGACTAAAAATCCCCCTGTTCCTTCTCCTGCTCTGGGCCAAGGTCGCGGTGCCTCATTGCGCTTACCCCGCAACCCCTGCAGCCTTAATCTGGGTTACGAATTTAATTTATTTATATTGACTAATAAATTAGTATCATTATTGTGTGTATGCTTGAGGGAGGATTCTTTGCGTGCAGTAAGACTTACATATTAACATTACATGTAATATATATATCATTAGAGCAAATTTTTTTCATTCACTGGTTACTCTATTTTGATACACTTATGCTTATGGTTTTTAGGAAATCAAATCTTTCGAAGAGTGTACTGCAACAGTTACTAAAGATACTTACGCCAAAACTATGCACCAGGTGAGTCACGTGACTTACATTTTTCTAATTAAAGTTTTGCTTAAAATTGTTCTGATACAGATGTTTTCTTCCAGTTGTTTATAAGCTTAGACCTATACAGGCGGCCGGTGCTGGCATCAGAAAACGAGGACTTCGTTGCTAACGTTAATAGAAAGGTATGTGTACAAAACCTCGCCGTCATATTCCTTTCTTTTCATTTTTTATACTATTTTCATTAAGTGCGGCGTCGGCTGGGCCGGTGTTATGCCTTGGCCTCACAGAAAATCGGCATGAAACAATCACAGCGTTGAATTTGGCCGTGTAAGTGAGGTTACCGGAGGTCCAATCCTTACCGTTCCCCAATCCCAAAAATCTCTAAATCCCTATTTCTCAAAAGGTCGGCAACGCACTCGTCACTCCTCCGTTATTGCGGGAGTTCATGGGCGGCGCTTATTGCATAGCATCAGGTTCCAAATGACCAGAACCAATATGTCTGCTCATTAGTCGTTCTATCACATAAAAAATAATACCAGACACCACGTACGAATTAATTTTTCTGCCACTGCTATGTCCAAAACTACTCGATATGCTTAGAAAATGATTTTGTATGTTTAGTGAATTATAAAATAAGTGTTTTAGGAGATGCGTCGCCTAGAACTGAGTTGGTTGCGCACTCGTTACGCGGAGTTGGTGCGCGAGCGCCGTGTGTTGCACGCGCAGATCCTGCGCACGAGATCATTGTACGCACAATTGCAGCACCTACTCGGTAAGTAGAAAAACAGGCCAGGCTATTGTATCTACGTATAACTATGTATTTAGCTGTAGAACTCTTCTAGCAGTAAAAAGTATAATGATGTTACTACGGCGTAGTATGTAGTACATCTCGGTGCTACGGTGCTACGAATTCGTTGACTTGACACGCTCTTTCAAAGCGTAGTCAAGGTCTACCATTTTTTTTTTACCTTTTTAGTAGATTTTGTGTTCGTTTTGAATAATTATTGGAATCTTTGAAGATTTTGGAATCCGCTATTCTCTATTTTAGACTCAATTTGGGGCAGCAATACCCGTCCAGGCAGTGCACAGGAGAATGCACTAACGAAAGCAATAGGGTTGCGGGATGCATTAGCTGCAGTGTCTGCGAGACTGCGCGCGGCCGCTGAGTATGCTCACGCGGCCGTCCGGCTGCTGGACGACGCCATGCCCGCGTGGAAGCTTACTACTGTCGGCAAGTGAGTTTACTATTACCATCAAATAGATTTAGAAAATATATTCCTGAAGAGTCATTGCAAGGCCGCAATACATTTTTTATATTGGCAAAGGAATTATTTATTGTGGGATAACCTAAATATCCAGTCCAATTTGCAAAATCTGGTTGTATTTACGAGGCTTCCGGCGACTGGGACCGCAGTCCTACTTTTGGCGGTCCGAGTCGCCTGAAGCCTCGTTTTTTTCAGTAGCTTCGCTTCTCACTAAGATTGTCATTCAGAGAGTTTAGTATACAACGTGATGTTTAGATAGAGTGTTTGAGTCGTAGGAGTGGATGGGAGAGGTCGACGGCAGTGGCGGACGCGTGTGCGCAGCTGGTGGCGGCGCGGTGCGCGGAGCGGGGCGCGCGCCGCGTGCTGGCCGCGCCCGCCGCGCCACGCGCCGCGCGCGCCCTGCGACTCGCGCTCGACTACGCGTTCACCGATGCTGTGCATGACCACAAGTAATTTATATTATTCATCCACAAAATAGAGACTTCCACAGTCATGTAAATTCGTAAAGTAAAACTTTTTTAAAGAGATATTACTTTCAGACACATACATTTATAAAGTTCAAAGAATACATCCATTTTGTCAAACCTGTCTCCCATTGGAGTATACACCATCCTCAACCAGAAGAAGTCCACTGCTGAACAAAGGCCTCCCCCTTAGTCCTCCACGTCGAACGGTAAGTTTTCGTCAGTCCATCTAGCGGGAGGCCTGCCCACGCTACGTTTCCGGTCCTTTTTTCGGGCCCATCGGCCGTTCGTGCTATACATAGCTTTTGTTAAAGTTCCAATGTTTCATTTCCAGGTACCAAAGAGCCACTGAAATATTTTTCCAGTTCAAAGAAGCACTTGTGCTGTTAATTGATTCCATACATCAGGTTAGTAATACACTAATAACATGTACGCAATTACCAGTTAGGTTACCAGTCTAAAATAATGTTGGAGCCTAGTACAGTTACGGTATCATATCTATGCTACGGCGATAAACTTTATACTGGTAGGTTGGAAATATACTTAATGAAAAAACAAAAAATATTAATAAAATTCGTGACATTGTCATAAGTCAAGTTATACATGAACTGATTTATTAATATTAAAATATTATTTATTGTGAATATTATTTATGGTGACCTAAAAAAACGAATATATAAACGAAAATGTTTAAAAACGCCAGAAACTTGTTACAATGTCACAATATAAATAGAATCTCCATTAGACAGTCAACTGATATACCCATATTTATAAATGGCAAACTCGTAAAAGTGCCTTCGTATTTCACAGTCGGACAAGCTTTGAAAAAAGAAAACGTAACTTCACCAGCGTTTTGTTACCACGGACGTCTCTCAGTAGCAGGCAATTGCCGAATGTGCTTGGTTGAGATCGAGGGATGGGGGAAGCTTCAGGTTGCTTGTGCTCTGGGTGTGTCTAAAAACATGAGAATCCGCACCAACTCTGAAAAACTCGCAAAAGCACAAGAAGGCGTTCTAGAATTTTTGCTCGTCGACCATCCATTGGATTGTCCCATTTGTGATCAGGGAGGTGAATGCGATCTTCAGGACTTGGCCGTGAGATTTGGCAATGATCGTTCACGATTCACAGACATACATTTTTTCGGAAAAAGAGCAGTGGAGAACAAAAGTTTGAGTCCTCTAATTCGAGCAGAAATGAATCGTTGTATTCATTGCACTAGATGTATTCGCTTCGCCTCTCAAGTGTGCGGCTTGGAAGTGTTAGGTTCGACAGGTCGCGGACACGACATGCTCGTTGGTACTTTTGTGGATAAAATGTTTCTATCAGAGCTTTCTGGAAATATTGTAGATTTGTGCCCAGTCGGAGCTTTGACTGACATTCCTTACCGTTTTAAAGCGAGACCTTGGGAGCTTAAGCGCACAAATTCGATCGACGTGACCGACGCTACAGGTACAAACATAGTATTAAATTATAGATTTGACAGAGTGCTCCGTGTCTTGCCTCGCGAACACGAGGAAATCAATCAGGAATATGTATCCGATAAAGGTCGATGGGCCATCGATTCGCTCGAAATGCAAAGGTTGGTGACCCCCATGAAGAAAGTCGGTTCGTGTTGCTGCCCCCTTGAATGGGACCCTGCCTTGAAAATGGCCAGTGAAATAATTCGGTCAGTTCCTCCCGAACAAATAATGGCTATAGCGGGTCCACACACCAACGTCGAGACTTTAGTAACGTGCAAAGATATGCTCAACATGTTAGGATGTGAACATGTATATACAGAGCGGGAGATGCATTATTCACTGGGTGACCTCGACATTAGAGCTGGATATTGCTTTAATATAAACATGAAAGATATAGAAAATGCTGACAAAATTTTGTTTGTTGGTACCAATCCTCGATTTGAAGCACCAATTCTGAACATGTGGATTCGACATGCTTTCAGGAATAACGAAGCTGATATCTACGTTGTTGGCCCGCCGTGTGATTACAACTATCACGTGACTTACGTAGGAGAGAATCTGCATAGTTTAAGTAAGGCTGCGCAAAGTTTGAGAGGTGCTAAAAAACCGCTTATATTTGTGGGAGTAAGGCAACTGGAGACTGCTAATGGTGGTAAGATAATGAGAAAATTATACGAACTGGCAGCAAGTTTCAAAAAGACAGAATATAGCGTTCTGAACATCATCACCAGAGATGCGAGTTTTGCTGGTGCTTTGGAAGCTGGATGGCGGACGGGTGTACGGTGTGCATTGGAGAAAAAGTGTCCCAAAGTAGTGATCTCTTTAGGAGCTGACAGCATATTCTACGACTGGAATCCGCCTTCAGCTTGCAAAATAATATATGTTGGTTTCCAAGGTGATAAAGGTGCAGAGTTTGCAAACTTGATCTTACCAGGATGTGCATGGACAGAGTCTGGCGGTGTTTATCTGAACATGGAGGGCAGATCTCAGTATGCGTATCCTGCCGTCACACCTCCGGGAAAAGCAAGGGTCGACTGGAAAATATTTCGTGCCCTGGCGGAATATTGTAATCTTTGTTTATTTTACAGTGACCATTATTCGCTTTGTACAAGGATGGCGCAAATTAGTCCAAACTTTGTAAATTTGGGTGATTTTCAACCAAAACTATTTGGAGACTTGGTGGGGTCTCTAGTGGATGTCCAAGCCGGTAGTACCGCTAATGAGCCATTCTGTATAGATATGCCATGTATGAAGGACTACTATTGTTCTGATATCTTCACTTACAATTCGCCGACCATGGTGAAGATTTCAAAGAGCGCGAAAGAGTTTGAAAAATCTGACTATTTCTCTGTGTATTAGTGGATTGCAAAAATATATTTTATTTATTATTGACTGCCTGTATATTTTAATATAAAAAAAACTGTATTTGTGTTTTATAGTAGTAATTTATGAAAATGAAAAATATTTCAATTAGTATCTACTTCTTTCTTTAACTTTTATTATGGATAGTAAAAGGTGAATTAATAGAACGTTTTGTAGTTTTTTTTTATTTAAATATAGCAATATGACTGCACGGTTGGCGCGGTGGCTGGATAACAATAATAATTCTGTGTGATCCAAAAATTGTTATTTCGGGTCTGGGTGTGATATACATGCAATACATTATGTGATATTGTATGTTTGTAAACGTAACCATAGGTATATGACACATGAGAAAATCCAAGTGTGAGGCAACGTTTGAAAAAGTATTGCTATACATAATATTATTGTATAAATATGTTGATTAATATTATTTATATTTTTTTCTAGTTTTAATTTTTTTTGTAAAATACTGACGTATATTTATAATAATATACCTACATATATTATGTGAAGAGAGCTTGTCTTATGTAGCAATGAAGAATTTTCTAATAGGTGTTGGCTTAGATATATTTTCGAAATACTAAGTTGGACTAGTTAGTTAACCTAAATCAATTAGGTGCATTATATATTCAATATTTCATTTTTTTTAAGTTTACCAAAAAATGTTTACACAGTATATTGCCTTACATACATTAACTTAGGTACCAGAGTGACATTTACAATTGCAACAATTAATGACATTTTTTAATTAGGTTCTACTGAACAATCTGGACAACTTGACGGCAGCTGAGAAGGACGTGGTCAAATGCAGGAAAGATCTCCGAGCGACAAGGGTCAATGACATCGTGCACCGTGGCCTGGCAGAGCTTAAATACGAACCCAAAGCATTAAATAGTTTGAACGTAGCCATGAAATGACTGACGACGGTCAACAGTTATTTAAGGAACTTATGGAAAATAAAAATATTTTCTCAATTTTGTGTTTTTTATTTGAGATTGGAAACTTGTTTTTTTTGGTGTTACAAGTTATCTCTCTAATTATTATAATTAGCTCTGTATGTTGTGCAGGAAAGAGCTTAAGAGGGGCGACATAGCTATGTCGGAGAGCTCTCCCTGATGATGATTTGATAATAATAATAATCTTTGGAAATTAAAAACTGATCGGTAATTTCTTTTGGTATCTAATTAATATGAGCTCTTGACGTGGCTCGAATTTAGTCGAGTTAACTAGTCAAATAGTGAAATAACGTTGGAAAACATAAGGAAAATGTCAGAGTTATTGTAGTCAAAAAGTGTTGTATAAAATAAAACACAAATATATAAAAACACAATCAAATTTTATTAAATATCAAATATTGTATTGTCTAACACGATTCCTTAACTATCATGTTTCACATCAATATCGTAATGGCATAATGATATACATACGGTTACAAATACACGGGGTCAATAAACTATTGACAGATACCAAGATTTTATAGTTAAAGACAGAAAGTACAGATGGCGTGATAGTTTATATATAATATATGATATAATTTAAATAACATTTTGTCGATATTGTCTTGAAGGAACAAGAAGTAGCCAAGGATAGAATATAATATATTAGTGAAATTAAAACTTAACAATAGGTACTATAATATATATGATATAAAAGTTCTGTGTGTTGCTCTTTAATACGGATGATGAAGTGGGAAAGGGTCAAGGGTCTCCTCAAAGTGGTGAATCAATTTACTTTTCCATGATGTTGAGAATTATAGGGCACTATATCTTCATATAGTTTACTTTCTCTACTTTCCATATCAAAAAGTAACACCTAATAAGCAAATATATAATTAATAAAAATCAAAGTATTACTTATATTACTTCACAAACAATTAATAATAGAAGCAAAATTATATCGAAGAGTCAAGTTCGTAGATGAGGTGATAAGTACCGAAGAATGAGAGATTCAGGGAAATGTAAAGAAGGAGAAACAAGTCGACAAGATTTAGAACACACTCACATTATATAAATACTTGTACACAATACATGGGCTTAAATGCAAAATCTACAAAAAAGTGTTATACACGATTATTATCTCAAAACGGTATGATCAGTTTATAATAGTTCTTATACGCTATTCATATTAGGTAGGTTTTTGTGCGCCAAAGCTCTACTTGGATGATATTAAGCGTTATATAAAAGTCTTCCGCACATGACTAGATTGTTCTCAGCGCTCTCATATAGTTGGAACGTTAGGTTTGTGTTCACACGCAGAAGATGTTTTATAGTAATTACGACGATTGTTTAAATATAACACTGATATGTGGCATGATGTGTCACGTGTCACTTGGTCAACGCAAGTCGTCCCGACTGGCGACTAGTCAGCACTCAGTCACCCTCGATAAAATGCTTACAATACTTACTGTAAATAAACTAAGCATCGGAGTTACACTTATTATATTATATTAGTATTTGTGCGAAATAAGATTATTGTAAAAGTTATGTTTTATAAAAAATAGACACTGAAAGAGTATTGAAAATAGATACAGTTGCTTTTGATTGCGTTCAATTCAACAAGTAATCAGTTGGTAAGATGAAAGGAATGAAGTTCGTGGCGAGATAATGTCGTCGTCGCTTCAAGTATCGCTTACAAAATGGACGGCTCTGTGTGATGCACATTGCCTGAGTATCCGACGGTCGGAATGTGTGAGGATCCTACGGAGGGCTACTCCTTACAAGTCAAGTCCACCGCCCGCCTACAAGTCGGGCGCAGCTAGCTAGTATTACAGCTAACGAGTATATTGTCAATCAAAAAGCCCGACCAACGCTTCGGCTAATCGTTTAGCGTGGAGTTATAAAAACCGTCTAAAGCATTATTTTTATATACGTAGTAAAAACATGGAAGCACTCCTGCGGACAGACTCTTTGCTGGCTATCATTGGTTAAGTATATTACTAGTAGTTGATGCGGTTACAGATACATATATACGTTACTGAATGGTTACATATAGTTCGCAAACAATACGCGAATTCAATGAATAAATGAGCAAACATATGAAGGATGTAACATCAACTTAGGACAGTAAACTCAACAATAGTAGTCGTAGAGACTGGAACAACGTAATCTGATCGTAAAACAGAACAGAATGTCCACGAGAACGTGAAGGGCCGGCGAGCGACGCCGCGCGGCGAGCTAGTTGTCACATGTGGTACCTGCTTCTACATTACACTTTGGTGATCGTCTTCAGCTTTCTACTCCTCAGGCATCTGGAATTAGTATGTATTTGTTTAATTCTATTTTTTATGGTAAAGCCTAGCTGCTATACAGGACTTGAATAAAATCTTATGATGATTTGGAGTCATAACACTGTTGTTTAATCATTGGATTTAAATAAACTTGTATAAGTTTAACAAATACTAGCAGACCTACAGACATATGTTTTATTATTTGTCCTTCTATAGTATATGTTTTTATTTTGACTCAATCATTTACATCAAACTTTAACTTCAATATTGAAATAATGACGGTAAAGAGCATTATAAGTAGTAAACAAATAAATATAATATAGAATATACCTCATAAAGCCGCGGTACAACATGTAAGCTCCGTACAGACTGAGCACGATGGTGGCGGTCCACACCACCGCCAGCACTGAGGTGCTGCCCTCTGCAATTAAAATACAAAACAACCATTAATAACTTTTGCAAATAACATAGCGAAACGTGCGTTGGTTGGGTTGGTTAATACAAGAAAGCTATTTAAATGAAAACCTTCAACGAAGATATTAAAATCAGTAGGATTTATTTTATTGAATGTAACTGTGTTGAGAAATGCATGAGAAAAAGGAGTCTGTGATACTACAAAATCTGAAACCGGAGAATGTAAAACAAAAATTACTTACGACGCGACGCCAAGTAACTAAGGATAAGATTTTAGGCAAATAAACTAAAAAAAAGTCTTGTGAAGATAGACAGTTATTTAAATAACATTGACTGCACTGTTAATTAATTAATGGTGTGGCCGGGCAACTGACCGAGCAACGTGAACGGCTGATGATGTGTGATCAACAATTTGTTGTTCTGGGTCTGCGTGTGATGTGTACACGTATGTTTGTAAACGCTCCAACGACAGAGGAGAAAATCATAGCGAAGGGGAACGTTTTAAAAATAAAAATAAAAATAGAGAGTTACTTACCGATATATCCGTCATGGTAGATGTCCTGGCCGGCGGGCACGCGGCGCGGTTTCTCCTCGCGCGGCTCCACGGCCAGCAGGTCGGGGATCTCGTCCAGCTCACCCGTGCAGTTGGCCCATTCAATTGTCACGAATCTGAAGTAAATATATAAGTAAATAGTGAATATAACATTAATATATGGGGAAAATGAAACAAACTATTAAAAGTGGTTTAAGTAGGTATACTGTGACATCAGGTAATCTTTTTTGAGTAGGTGACAGTTCACATTGTTATTCAATGTACCACTATTCATAACATAAATACTAATTAATGAATTATAATATCCTTATAGCGTTTTTATAGGGAGGTAAAACTTTGAATGACATCGCAACCTGATACTGTACAGCTTTTTGTAAAAGTATATGAAGTTTTGGTCTTTATATAATCACTTCTATAATGATATTAATTGCCACCCTATCAATCAATTGAAAACTCAATCAGTTCATCTTGTACTGTACCTGGCAGGAGTACTGCAAGCTCGCCGAGCTGGTACAAGAAGCTGTCTAGTACGGGAGCGGGCCCCACCTCGACACGGACCCCACGAGCCCCATGGACCAGGTTGGCCAGACTCCGACTGCTTGCATCCACACTCCACCTCGCAGATTTCGTCCTCCTGAAATAAAAGATCGATGTAAAAACCCTTAATAAGTTTGACCCTATACGAAAATTATTACTCTAAAATCGATTTGACTTTGATAACTATTAGGCAATTTTTAAGGTTTTAACCTACATTTGAGTAAAATTTTATTTCAGTCTGTATTGAATGCATTCTTTTCGGAAACACAAATACCACGGCAGATACAGATAACCGGCGTGAAGAAATACTTACGTTGAGTTTCGTCGTGTGAGTGAGGTTACCGGAGGCCCAATTCTTCCTCCTTCCCCCATCCTTAATCCTCAAATCCCCTATTCTTAAATCCCTAACAACCTACAAGAGGCTACCAACGCACTTGTTGTAACTCGTTCGGTACTACGAGTGTCCATGGGCGGCGCTGATTGCTTACCATCAAGTAATCCGTGTGCATTCGTGTGCAAAAAACCTTTTAAAACGAAACAGTACAATGTAGCCAAATCCTTATAATTTTATGGACTTAATCCACCAGTCCATTTCAGTTGTAGATATTCCGGCTGACGCTGATAATGATTATCAGTGTACCTGGTAATGCATGGGTGGCGCGACGATCCTGCCGGGCAGCACGGCGGCGCAGCGCCAGGGCTGCAGGTACAGGTCGGCCGAGTCGTCGGCCGCGCTCGCCAGCTCGCAGCGCACGTGCGACACCTTCACTCCGAACCCACACGCGCCCACCGTGTCCAGGCCCGTAGCCGTCTGATGGGGTACACAAGCATTAACAAAAAAACTAATTTCTTCCTTATTTTTTAACCTACATTGCTATCATATATATAAGAAACGGTCGAGGGAACTCTTTAACCATTAATAGCAGATACATGGTGTTTCAGCTGATAAAGTTGTACTAATCAGAACTTTACGGATAGATGAATATCGAAACTTCATCAAAAACTTGACAAACTCCGGGTACTATTTATCCTACGTTGATATGACCATGACCATTTATGATGGCAAACGACTGAAACGTTCTTAAGTGGTAATGTTAGTAAAATGACGATGATGCTGATGTTAGTGGACGAACATCATGAAACAAGAGAGTAAGTTACCTCATTAAGTACCTGTACGTGGCACCCGAGCGTGGGCCGCGCCACCAGCTTGAGGCAGGGCTCGCGCGGGCACGGCGCGCGCTGCTCCGTGGGGGGACACGCGCGGCCCGGCCATACTGCCGCCGTCAGGTGTTGTCTGGAGATTGGAAACAGAATTGTTACTTTAAGGATCAGCTTCAGGTGTCGTCTCTTTTCTATTATCTCTTGAATGTTTGTGCTAAAAACTGATGTGAAAGTGAACACGGTGAAATACAAAGTTTATTTTCAATTTAGTTGTGTATTACAAACGCCTCATTCTCCCCAAAAGGTCGGTATCACCTTTATAACTCCTTTGTTGTTGCGGCTGTCCATACTTACAATTAAGTGACCGGCAGCTCGTTTTTATAAAAAATACTTAATAATATTTGTTCTTTTTTCTTGACATTGTGAAGTGTGGAACAGCCATGCTTCGGCAAGAATGGTTCGTCTCGACCGGAATGATACGGCATCACAGAAAACCAGTGTGAAACAATAACCACAGCGTTGTGTTTTGCCGTGTGAATGAGGTTACCGGTGGCTGAATCCTTCCTCTCCCCTAATCCCTCTCAGTACTTTGGTACTCCAAATCCCTAATCCCCAAAAGGTCGGCGACGCACTCGTAACTCCTTTCTTGTTGCTTGCTTGGGTGTCCATGGGCGAGATGATTGTATACCATCAGGTAATCAGTATTCTCATTTGCCGTCCTATCACTTAAAAAATGTCCTATACTAGAATGTACGAGATACCACTATGCCAACCATGTATTAAATGAATGAGTGATAAGATATTTCTTGTAAGTTACAAATAATGACCTGGTCCGTCGCATATGGCTGGCAGTGTTAGCGTCCCCGCAGGAGCAGGCCGAGGTGTCCCAGGCCCCCCACTCACTCAGCTCACAGTCCACTCCGCATGGCACGTAGCACCATGACTCCTTGGCTTCGGTTGTTGTCGTGTTCTGTAGCATAGGAGATAAACATTAACCATCACCAGGATCTAAATCAAAAAGCAAAGAAGAAGCGATAAAGTAGGAGATATTTTCTAGTAGAAATTAAATAAGGAATATTTTTGAATGACTTTTCTGTTTGAGAACCGATAAAACAGAATTATTTCTTAATTAGATCCTCGTGAGACGTATATTATGCCAAAGTCACATGGAACTGGCCATGAATGAAGAAGAGCCTTTTTATTAGGATAATAATAATTTATTTGAGGTTCAAAGTGTAACAGTTTCAAACTTCGTAAAATTTTAATCAGCATCTAGCTTCAAATACTTACAGGGCAGAAGGAATCGTTGACAAAAACGCCATCACTTCGCAGACACCTGACGGCTCTTTTCTTTGTTCCTTCCCCACATGGCGATCCCCCTAGAAGTAAGAAACGTTCTTTTTAGAGAAATCATACAAGATTAAGACAACACATATCATGTTATATGTCTTGATCACATACATTAGGGCTCTGGAGAGGCTCTTAAGTAATCAGGGATCTCAGTCACAAAACATTATTTCAATTGTTATATCTCACAATTGTTTAAAAAAAAGTTGTATTGCATACCCAAGGGCTGACAGTCATCCCAAGGTGCGACGTGCCAGGTGTACGCGTGAGGAGAGCAGGGCTCCGCCCCGACCAGGTGTGGGCAAGGAGAGCCTCCGTCGTCAGCGGGGCGAAGTACCACGCGGGTACGATCACGACGACCTCCCCATTTTGTCTGATGAAAATATGAGAATAACAGATTATAACATACGACATAAAAATAACGTACATTTTTCATATTTCCTTTGATATTTTAATTTACAAAAATTTTCTGTTATAAGGATCCAATAAATGCTCTCTAAATTACAGTACGGCCGACGTATCTTGGCGAGTCTGAAGTTAGCTGTTTGTCTGCGCAATGGATCTTTTAGGAAAAAAATTGTGTACTGCGCAGCTAATGGGCTAACTTCAGACTCGCTAAGATACGTCGGCGCTATTGTACGTCTAAAACCCAGCCCTATATTGTTCGAAAAATGCTCTACCAATTTCAAGTCACATTGGGATCCATAATTTACGAGTGAAGTGAGTTAGACGCATTTTCTCAAGTTCATTTAGCATGTTTCACGATAGATATAAAAAGCTTTTTCGTATAAGAGTGATGTATTCACCTGTTCGCAAGGGCTCCATTCTGACCAGGAGCTGACGACGCAGTCATTAGGGCAGGGCGCGCGACACGCCGCGTCCCGCGTGGGGGCCGGCCCGGCGCCCGCCGCCTCGCACGTCGTGGGGTCTAGCTCTACGCCATCTGAGTCCACGCATCTGTGTGGATAGGTACTAAGTATTAGTAAACTTCGATTGACATGATGCAACATTACGACTTTATTTTTTTTTTATTTATTTGTTTATTTAAGTCAGGCATGTGAGGCCCATAGAGAATACAATACATAAATATATTATAACATTAAATCATAAACTAATACATATGTTACATAAAAAACTTAAAAACTAATGCACACGAAGTGTCGGCGTCGTGTTACGCTGCGTGGTGTCGCGAAGCCGTCCTCGGAACCTCCGATATACGACACCCTTCGGCCAAAACTCTTCCTTGAAGAATGTCTTGACGTGATAAGTTGGAACTCGCACCATGAACGAATTAAAGTTCGTATTGTGTCGCGACTCCAACTTCGCCACCCTCAAGGTCCAGTTGGTCTTGGATCGGACACACTCCACGATCTGCTCCACTGTCGTGGTGTGATGTAGACGGGACACGTACAACTGCGTCGTTGGTACTGCAGGACGCAGCAGGATGTTTGGTCCAGTTTGTGCAGTTCCGCACTTATTCCTACAAGTTGGCCTCTTTTTTCTCCTTTCTACCTTTATGAAGCCATCCTTGTCGCACGTGTCCTTCTTAGGACTAGAGTCTGTGGCTGTGATGTGCCACGGGTTTGTTTAACCCCTTTTGCTTTAGCCCGCTTTGTTTAAGAGGCTGGTTTTTCTCGAGCATACGGCGCGTAGTTTTCTAAGCGCGCCTCAAAGATCCAATAGTCCTCCACAGACGGGGCTCTATAGAACCGCTGTTCTGACTGGTTTGCGGGGTAACAGCAAATTGGTACCGCGGCCTCAGCCTAGTAGACCTATGTAGACTAAGTAGACTAGAGTAGTTAGTTAGAGTCTGACACTCCCTCTCGCCTCACCCTGGGCAAGAGAGGTCGATTGATTTTCTCCTAACAAAAAAAGAGATTTATCTTTGTTTAAGCTTTTTCTTTACAGCAGTGTAACAACGAAGCCTATAAGGAAGCCGGTGTCAAAGAACGTTTACGTTGGGATAGTGAGGTTGTCGGACGCCCAATCTACTTTCCCAAAGGTTGCTAACGCACTTGTAACGTCTCTAGGATTGTGAATGTCTTTTGGCCGCACTGATTGCTTACCATCAGGGATACCAGATGATCGTTTTTCAACTCAATGAAGTCTGTCTGTTCCTCAAAGAAGTAGAGGAACATATAGTTGTGTGTACTGACGTGACGGTCCTGTTGATGAGCGCGCGTCCGCAGAGCGCGCGCGGCGGTGCGCAGACACTCCAGTCGCCGAGCGCCCAGCGCGGCTCCGACACCGCGCACGTCGCGCGCTGCAGCGTCGCGCCGCACTCGCGACCTCCGCCAGAACCTTCCTCTATCACCTCCCTGACAAAGAGGATATAACCACTATATCGTCACTGTCTCTACATAATCTCAAATTTGTTTAGAACTCTGTCTCTGTCTTAGATTTTGAACCGATACCAAATACCTAATGTAATATGAATGGATTTATATGATAAAAACGTTGTGCTAGTTGATGGACGATTAAAATAGTTTATCTGTACAGCTCCCAAAGCTCTAACAAAGTTAAATGTTGAGCCAAAAACCTAAAATATTATTTGATAAACAAATAAAAAGCAAACATGTTTATAGCACTGGATCGAAGGTTTTAGCACAATGGAATGAAATTAATGTACTTGCTATGCCGAATACAAGAGTAAACGTTTTGTTATGTAATATGACTGACCTGGTACGGAATCGGAAAGCAGCCCTAGAGCCAGGTTCGGACGCGCAAGGCCCCCACTCCCCCCATTCGCCGAGCGCACAGTCGCGCGCGCAGCGCACGCTGCAGGCGCCGCGCAGCAGCGCCGGGAACTCCACGTCGTACAGGTAGCCGTCCGTCGACGCCTCGCGGACTCGACTTGGGCCTACATCATGGTAGTTTGATTACATTAATGATCCTAAATAAATATATATTTATATACCTAGATACTCATAGATGATTTAATAAAAAACTAAAGCTATATACAGTTTACGTACATTCGTGACGCGAAATCGAGCTGAGTTAGCAAATCGGTCGATTCACTTAGTTGTTATAATTTATTAAAACTAGCTTCAGTGTGTGTCTATAACAGCCAACGGAAACGGACGTATCTGTGACAATTATTAAAATAACTACTAAACTGTTACTGGTGGATAATAAACGTTATATAACTAAGTACCTAAAGGATATTCATTCATCATTAATGATAATTTATGTAAGTGGTATTTCTAACTCTTTACTTACTCCATAATGTCCAAAATAAGAGAAAAGAAGTATATAGACCGTTTAGAAAAAGTATATAGACTGTTTAGTTTTAAGCCTATTGAAAATTTTACAATCTACCTAACCTGGTTTGTTGTAGATATGATTCTTGAAGTATAACGTACCAGTGAGTGGATGATACTTCTTGCAAACATCCATGGGTACATCCCTTCCTCCCACCATGCACCTGGCAGCGCGGAGAGATCTGCCCTCACCGCACTCCATTCTACAGAAAAAACAAATAGCTTATACTAAGTTGTAATTAAGTTTTTGGTTTTTTATGGGACCACAGAGTAAGAACAAAGACAAGATGGCCTAAACAATAGAGCACTGTGACACAACTCGGTCGGCGGCGTGGCTTGCACAACTTCGATACACCACTTCCTACTTACTTTGTGGATCATGATCAGCTTATAAGTGCCCACTGCTGAGCGAAGGCCTCTTCTCACATGAAGAAGGATTAAGCATTAATCACCAAGCTTGATTAAGGCGGATTGGCGATTACAAATTATAAGTCCAAGTTTCCTCACGATGTTTTCCTCCACCGTATGTCAGTGGTGTCTAAATTAAAATAGAAAGTACATACAACTCGGTAAAGTCACAATGGTACTTGCCAGGTTTCGAAACCGCACCCTCAAGCATGAGAAGCGGGCGTCTTAACCTCCGGGCCACCACAACTGTGTGGATGCAACTTTGAAAAAACTATACTTATCCATATTCTATGAAGTCAATACATACCCAGATGGAAGGATGCAGTCAGAGTCGATGGGTAACAGCTCCAAGGAAACGTTCTTACAAACGCAGTTTGGAACATCAGGATCAGACGCGTCCAGGTATCTGCAAGTACATCATCGTTACCGTTATACAACTTTCATCAAACCAGTGGCCACTAATGGATCTAGAGCATCCTCTACATAACTCATGCTACCTAAGGTATCAGAGATCGCTGCTACCTGGGGTACGTCAAATTTGTAGTCCCTTAGTTTTTTTTCCCTTGAAAGCTGTCTACCTATTATGATATCCACGACTTCAGGTAAAACGTAACCTATGTGTTATTCCAGACTATAATGTATTTTTGTGTCATTCAGATCTTTTCAGTAAATTTTACACGAACGAAATAGTAACAAAAATATATCCATCGTCATTATCCGCTTATAAATGTCCACTACTGAGCTAAGTCCTCTTTTCACACGGAAAAAGTTTGAGCATTAATCACAACGTTTGCTCAAGGCGGATTGGTAATTTCAAACTTATAATTAGAAATTATACGCCTACTTTTCCTCACGACATTTTCCTTCACCGTTTATCAGTGGTGCTTAAATAAATAAACATAGAAATAGTCACATTGATCCATATATCAGTAATGACAAAATATCGCGTTTTTAATATTAGTAGGTTTTTAAATAACCTGTTCTTAATATTAGTAGATTTTTTTTATATAAGTTTGTGTTAATGCTTACTTGAGTGGATCAGAGCATATGACGTCGCATGTAAGTGGCGTGATATGTTCGCAGGTGACGTGGCAGGCGGCCACGCTGCGCGGGATGAGCTGGCCGGCGCATGCGCCCGCCTCCACGCGGTGAGACTCCGACCCACACCAGATGCCTACAGTATCGGATAGTGGTAATAGTGATGATGGTAATATTTGAAAATAAATTGTTTTAATTTTTTTAAACAAATTGTTTTAATTTTTTTTTAAAAACACTAACGAATAAGTTCATAAATACGACAAATAAATTATCTTTTATTCTTTCGATATTTTTCTAGCAAAAGAACAAATTAGTACCACATTTGATGCAATTGTGAGGTCACATTTCAGTACCTCACATACTTAGTTATTTTAAAAACGGTGATGAATACAACTAGAGTTTTCATCATCCATATTGTCTTCTTCTTGTAGAGTTATGGGTAAACAATTTAAGGGTCAATTTTGAGCGTATATAATATTGTCTAGGTACTTAAAACAAGAGAAATGTTTTGTAAAAAAAGTCATATGAAGAGGCCCTGACTGTGTCACTTTTAAGCATAGACGTTTAAATATAGAAATATAGTACTATGTCTGAGGTTGCTAGCACAAAATATTTTGAAAATAATTTTTATACTTCAAAATTAAGGCAAAAGCGACTTACTCCTAACTCTGAATCCAACTCCGCAGCGCTGCATGGGCGGCAGGCGACACGTGCTCCAGTCGCCGGCGACCCAGGTGGCGTCGCGCGCGCGACATGTGCGCGACACGGGACAGTCGCGGGTCTCCATGCGCGACCCACAGCTGGGACCGCCGTGGACTACACGCACGCGGACCTGCTTGCCTGGCTCTGTGGACCAGAGTATTGAAGATAAGATTTTGAGGTTTTGTAGGACTAGGAGGCTAGGCCTTATATCAACTGGGACAAGTGTACGGAGAAGAAGTTTCTGAAAAACTTGTTAAAGAAGAAATTAAAATAATCTTCAGACAGAGTTTTTTTAGTATCTTTTTTCTAGTTGTCCCACACTAGGATTTACTCCCATGTCGTGGGTGCATTAAGAAACACTTTTCACATTGGCACACATACAAAGAGTTGTTCCACGGTTGCCACCGCGCCAACCATACTGTCTAGCCTTGTACTTGGCCATACCACATTATTTTCATAGCATGAACTTGTATTTATCATGAAATGTTGTCGCAATGTTTCTAAAACTTACCACAAGTATTAGGGCAGGGCGACCACGGCATCCAAGCCTCGACTCTGCAGCCGCGGCGGCAACGCACCGTACACGCGCGGCGTGATGCCGGGCGACGCAGAGGTGCACAACTAGTTTGATCAAAATATCATTAAATTGGTGTTTCTTTTCCAACCGAAGAAATACAGGAGCTAACAGAGGAATTATATGTTTATGAATTTATTTATTAGGTATTAGCGACCAATACTGATACTAATTTTTTACACAATTTAACAAATGTTTTTATTTCTAACTATTAGTTAGTTTTTATTTAACTATTCTCTTCAAGCACTCCATCTTTAAAAACCGCATCAAATTTTTTAAAGATTGAAGCATACACAAGGACATAGAAAGCGACTTTGTTTTATATTATGTAGTCAGTAGGAATAACGATTTCTTTGTCAATACTCACAGAGCTTCCCGCACGACATCAGCATTGTTCTGTACACACATCACGTCGCGCACCATCTCTCCTTCTTCAATGCACGGCTCGTCTTCATCACTCTCGTTGTATGTCTCTCCGTCCTAAGAATAAATGAGAGTTATTATATTTATTAACTAACAGCATGGCACCATTGGTGTTTTCTAATAGAAATTCAACATTTAAATGTAAAAAAAAAAACTTTCGATATTCGTGTGTACTTTTTTTAGGCCGAGTTTACTTATTACAAATTCGAATTCAATGTGCTTTGAGCTTTTCGAGTGGTTTTTTAAAACCCCAGCATTGTTTGCCGATATATCTTGGCAAGACCTACAAGCACAATTTTAAATAAAAAAAAAAATTGTAAGTCTCACGCAATATGAAGTATGAAGAAATTATTTAATTTTAAGTTATTTTGTAATTAAACATAGATAGAGCTTACCAGTAAGTCAGTATAGTTATTGACGGGAATGAAGTCCTGTCGCCGTCTCTCGCAAGGCCCCCACGGTGTCGCCAGCCAGGAGTACGTGGCGCATGCGTGAGTGTTACACGTCTCGTTCTGAATCAACTGGTCTTCTGCGGGGCATGGCCAGCCGTCTGAAATGTGGAAGATTGTTAATTGTATGATAATATTTCTATGAAAGATACATATGTTGATAGTGATGACGATTACATTTTTTTCTTCTACTTAATAGTCCATCACAGACCGATTTGTCTATTTTTAGCAGTGGTGCTCATGCTTTATACCAGTTTTTGTTTTAGATTATATTAATTAATAAATTGGCATTCTCCACGGACTCGTGTCCTTATCATAACATTTTCAATCAATATTATTAAAATAAAAATACCAATTTTAGTACAACTAACCACAAGTAAGTATTTAGAAATTACACGTTACATTTAAATTTCTATAAGAAAGCAACCTAATTTTATTTGAAAACCACAAATCTTAGGGACATTTTTTATCGAAGGCTACTGAGTCAGTCCACCAATACACTGGGTGAGCCGATCTGAACCAGTTGATGAAATGAATTCATCAGGAGATTCCTAAAACCAAAATATGGACGTACTAGGAGCAGAGTGAGCCAGTATGTGTCGTCGCCTGGTCCTGGAAGGTCGTGAATGGGTGGCCGCAGCGCACGGAGCCGAGCAGTGGCTCCAAGCTCCCCAGGACGATACCACGCAGTCCCCAGCACACGCGATGCGGCATCTCTCACTGCGAGGGGGAGCGCCCGTGCCACTGCACCAAGCGCGTTGAGCTTCCTTCTGCAAGGTTATGAACAGATGTCACAACTTTCGACGCAAATTAAACTTAGTATTCAGGGTTTTCTTGGTGGATTTAAGATTTGGAAATTTGATTCAGAACTTTATTTAAATAGTTCGAAGATTTTTCGCTAGTTTCATAATTAATATACAATAAAATATGATGTACGTACGTAGATCAAAAAAAGAAAATGTTGATTATAAGACACTAGCGACCCGCCCCGGCTTTGCACGGGTGCAATGCAAAATGAGTATCAGTTTTTTTTTATTCCGGGGAAACCATCGACCGCATTTCCTTGTTTTCGTCGTTGGAATGTTTTAGAACTCTTGTTATAGAGCTCCGATAAACGCGTGCGATCGCTGCAAATCATAAAGTGCTGTAAGGCGAAGCGCGGCCATCGACGCGCTATTTATAGGCACGCGCCGCCCGGCGCAAACAACTACGACCCTGCATTTTAAATTTGTAATATCTTCGGTAATATTCACTTAAATTACATGCTGTAAAAAGCATATTGATCTATGATAAATGCACAATTTACTTAAATGGATAAGGATTAATGCTGTATTGTTATTTTTTAGTAAAGAATAAAAATGGTTATGCTGGGTTATCCCTAAGAGATAGACATATACCATCGCGGACTTTTTTGTTGAACTTTTTAAGGTGAACAATTCTGTAGTACATTATTTTGGTCTATCTCGTAGGGTTCAGCCAGCGTTTGCAATATAAGCGCAAAAAAACGTGCTTATTTACGACATCACATTAGAAACCTTTAAATTTATCAGTGTTTCTCTACTATATTATGCATTTATTATGCATACAAACCTGCCTTAAGAATCACTCTATCTATTAAAAAAAACCGCGTCAAAATCCGTTGCGTAGTTTTAAAGATCTAAGCATACATACGGACATACAGCGAAAGCGACTTTGTTTTATACTATGTATTGATGAGTTTTCAGTGGGGCAGTTTTTATATTTCTCTTGCATATTATATACTAGCTAACCCTGGCAAACTTCGTACCGCCTCAAATATAAAAATATATAATTTATTGATCTTTCTAACCTTCCCTGTATCCAGGAACATTTCACGATTATCATAAGCCATGTCGGTCCAGTTTTGCTCGACTTTTAGCGAGACTAACGAACAACAATATTTTTTTATATATAAGAAGAGACTTTTGTATGATTTAAGTTACAGGGTAATTTTTGTTTTCTTACCCCGTCGTGTCCAACGCATCTTAACTCCCGGCTTCTCTTGCCAGGCCCACAGGTGGTGTGAGGCTGGTTTAGCACACAAGGTCCCCAAGGCAACGCCTTCCAGGAAGCGCAGCGAGGAGTGCTGCATGTCCTCTTCTCTTCTAGAGGAGGACACGGTGCTCCGCCTCCCGAAGCAGCAGAGATCACTCGTCGCCGTCGAACACTGTAGCCTAGTTAATGGAGATAGATTACAATGTTTTGTTACTATTCATTATAATCTAGTCCAAGTATATTTAGGAAGATCCACTTCATAAATTTTACATTGATTGAGAAATCATATCCTTTGCTTTATTTCCCAGTAAAATTAACAGTAGGGCAAGCGAGCCACAACCTTTCAAAACCACTGCAACTCCTGTAAGCCAGGTTCTACAGTAGATACAATCATGAAAACACCGGAACACTGAAGTCCGGCGCGTCCCAGGGACATGAATGACTGTCTTGGATCCCGCAACGAAATAAATCAGAAGATTTTGTTTAAGTAGAACAAACAACTAAATAGTTTCCACTTCCCTCAGTGATTTCAATGTAAAAGACATAATTGAACCTCAAAGGCAAAAAAGAGACAGTACAATTTAAACAGTAGCATATTATTATGTTTACCAGTAGTGGTGAGTTGTTGTACAGGGAACAGAGGACAACCGTCAGTGGGTTGGCATGCCCCCCACTCTCCCCATTCCCCAACTTCACAATCACGTGGACAAGGTACCTGTAAGAAAAAAAATTATAAGTCATTGATTCTAATGATTTTTCAAAGGCTTTAGCAATCATGAATCATGAACATATTGAATAGATGGGATAATCAACTCGATGACGTGACTTTATGAGTCACGTAGTAAGTACTAAGGTATTCATGAGTCTGTTAGTACTTGAATAAATTATTGTAGTTTGTTAAAAAAAAAGGGTTTACGTCATGGCTGACTCACAGCTATGAATATTGATTAGCTTAGTTACTAATTATAAAGTTGTATATAAACACAATTTATGACATTTTTATTCGACGAAAAACGATTTAACAATTCTTGGCAATGATATCGATGTGGATTCGATATTTAGCAAGATTGATATATAAAGAGTCGTTTAGATTTGAGCTTTTATTTGGTAGAATAATGCAATGCATGGTAAACTATTACTTTACCTCACAAGGTTGTACAAGGGTAGGCATAGGCGCATGTGCACACTGCGCAGGGTGTAGAGCACGCCCATCTGCGCGTACGCAGGTTGCGTCCCTGCGTTGCACCCCTCCTCCGCAACCCGCATCACGCGCCGTTCTTCCATCATCGTCATCTTCATCATCGTCGTCATCATCGTAGATCCCGTCATTGTCATCAGCATCATCGTCATCGTCGGTGTTCACTGGAATAGGCGTACAGAAAAATATGTAGTGATTCCAGACCCCATAAAATTATCTAAGTAGATATAGTAGGTTAGATTTTGAAAAATTGTAGTAGATTAGTATCATAGATTGTGATGGTATGAACTACATATCTTATTAATTATGTTCATGACTAGTGCATACTCGACTGTTTTCAAGTCACGGTCTCCTGGGGTCGCTCGAAACAAGTCAAGTTACCTTATGAAACCGTTACGTATGTACTAAGCAGAACTTAATAATTACTAGAACAAAATTTCATTTATTTTAGGTAGAAAATAGTATATTTTCCAAGAATTCCCTCTGTAAATTCCAGCCATCCCTCAAGTCCTCAATGTTCTCATACATATTCCATGAATATGTAACTGGAACTAAATGATCAACGATGCAGTTTTAACACATGGCTCGCTTCCAAGAGCCATGCGTCTAACATACATCATCCAATTTCAGACTGCAAGACAATACCAATGGCAATATGGATCCATGTCATGTACAAAACTTGATAGAACTGCAATATTTCACGAGATAATAATATATTTATCCTCGATCGAGAAAAGTAATCTGTACCTACTCAATTCTAATTGGTCACGATTTTGGACCCCTAAAGCAGGGGAATTTGTGTTTCGTGTTTTTAATTTACAATGTGTAATTTTATATATCTACTTACTTTTTAAAACCACATATTTTTTACCTTCCTTGTCTTTATTGAAAATATGTAGAAAACAAGAGATATTGGTTCAGTAGTTAAGCAAAGCAAAAGCTAATTCTCTTTTTGAGCTAATCAACTCAAAGGTAACGCGACGTACTGGACCAGATCGGTCAAAAAAGGGGAGGGAAATCATAGGGGCAGCCGTCAAGGACAATCATTAAGATCACTTTGTCAACGACAACACTGAAACGTCACCGAACCAGCTATTTTGACATTTTAATAGACCGCTCCGTCAACGTAGGCAACGTTGCCGTTTTTCCGAAGTCAAGGCACGTTGCTTATACAGAGTGATATACTTTATAATTTTTTTTTTGATTGAAGTTTTCTTATTTTATGTTTTAAAACTTTGGTTGTGTCATACTTATTAGGTTTAGAACTACATATGGCTTTATCAAAAGATTATATGAAAGATACGTATTACTATTCATATTGTTTTGGGTGAAAAGAGTTCCACAGTTACTCCATTTCTTTGTGATACCTCAACTCAGTTTATTACGTTTATTTTCTAAACAACCTCAATTGCGTTATAATCTGCATCCGATTTACATAATTGTCCACTCTCTAATGTAGTTTCGCGAGGTCATTACCCTTATCTTCCTGAATACAAATTAGTTCCATCCGTAGCCAGTTTTAGCATAATTATCGCACAAATCATGTTGTATCAATTAATCGCGTCGAAACAATGTGCAGTGACATTTATCGCTCTATTATTCATTAGGCTAATCCTTATTACTGTTTCTGTCGAATGTGTATTAGTAACACCATAAATAAAACGCGTTTTGGAAGATATTAATCAATACGGCAGATATGTACCTACAGTTACGATTTTAGAACAATTTTAGACTCCATGCTTTATAACGCCAATCGGAATATTTGTGTTTTCTGTATTTTATTTTTATTTTATAAGGTTAATTATCAACCTAAGTGCCCATTGTTTAGCAAAGGCCTCTTCTCACACGGATAAGGTTTGAGCATTTATCATCATACTTGCTCAAGGCGGATTGGTGATTTCAAACTTATAATTAAGTCCAGGTTTCCTCACGATGTTTTTCTTTACCGTAAATCAGTGGTGTTTAAATAATCTTAGTATGCCTTCGAAATTTAGGAAGCCATTCGATATTATCGTTCCCGATATAAGAATTTTAAACTACAACTGGGTGTAAACTAGGAGTGTCAGACCCAAAAAAACCATACAAGTCGAACCATCATGTAAATTTGATGCCACAAAGCTAATGAAAGCCGATGTGACATCTAGTACTTCGAATGCATTTAAGGTTTCTGATCGTGGTCAATATTCGGATGGTTATTTACTGACCTGCTTGAAGCATGGAGCGTCCAATCTCGATGGCCACCTTGCACTGCCCCCAGGGGCCTGGTGTCCAGTGAGCGCTGGCTTCCAATGCTGCAGGCCTCACTTCTTCCACCACATCGCATTCCTTGCCTCCACCTAGGTTTATACGAATAATAATTAATTACCTTGCTCATTTTGAATTGTATATGTTTTTTTCTTCCTTTGCCGTTTCGAGGGTCAAAAAATTATTTAAGAAAGATAGAGCTAAGACACGGCTTTAGAATTTTTTTAAATGTATATAAATAGCTAATGAAATTTAATTTTATTTGTAATATTCTTTGACTGGAAATTAGTAGTGGAAATAAGTAGTCAAAATAAACGTTTTCTTACGAACCTTGCGGTAATCGTTTCAGTCTTCGAGTTCGCACTAGGGCGCCATCAGGTCGTGGTCTCCATGGCAACCATTCAGCTAGCACACAATCTTCTCGGATCACACACACGCGAGCTGTGCCTATCTCTGCTAGCACTGGACCGCAGTACCTATACAAGTATGTTCATTATCAGAAAAGTAGTGACAGGGAAACAGTCATATAATTGGTTTATTTACAGTTTATTTTAATTCACAGTTTTACCCTTTTAAATGAAACGTTTTGTCTTTTTGGAAATCGGTGAATTTTATCTTTAAGCAATTTTACTGACTCAGAATAAGATGGCTAACATTTAAAACAGTTCAACTGAGTCGCCGGTAAAAGTTTAACTGTAAAATAATGTAACAAACGTTTGTCTGAATGTAAACGTTGCTACCAAAGCTCACGTTCTCGATATCAGCATTATTTTATAAAACCACGTGCTCAAATATTCACGGCGCCATTCTACAAGCTATTCGAGTTACAAACGTCAGCATAAAGTTCAATAATGATCAGTAAAAACTCTTTGCTCCGCGCGTGACATGAAAAATGTTCCATTCTCTTCCATAATTCATCACACACAAGTTTTTCTACGGCCAAGTGTTATAAGATCAATAAGTGAACGAATTGACCCAGTTCTGCAGTGCTGGGAGAATGCACGTTCAAGCAAAACATCTCAGAACTTAGCTTATGAAATTTCTTTCAAAACATGTGAATTATGGAGCAGATTGAAATATGTTTTGCCACTAAATGAAGGATTTACAAAGATGGCAATTTTGACCTGGTTTGTGATGTCGAGGAATTTATACATAGCTTAAACTTTCCGTTGTTAAGAAGCTTGAGTAGAATAATAGTGGAAATAGATTAAAAAGTTAAAATGTATAATATTTTTGTTTCTATAATAAAACCAAAAGCTAGCTTTTCTCTGATATATGTACGTGTGAGTGTGTAAACTTACATGGCTTCTACAAATTGTCCGTCCTTCTTGCGACATTGCACCTGCCGACGTTGCAGACCGAGCCGGGGCGTGTGTACTAGCGAGTCGGTCTCCGTCCTCATGTACCTGACGTTGCAAAAAGGAAAATGTAATAAAAATAAAATGGATAGGCCAATAAACTGATTGGATTTGTTAAGTGTAAAAAGTACTAGCCATATTGTTGAAATAATGTGTGGAAAAGTGCTAATTGATAAGTTTCCTATTTCAATCATTGTTTGACGAATTTTAGTCTAAGTAGAATAAATGTTGGATACGCAAAAAAGAATTTTATTCTTTTTTTTTATTTTTAAGGAATGTTTCTTCTTGGAAAATAATATAACAGAAAATACGACGAAAAGAAGGTACGCATAACATGGAGTCTCTGAATTTTTGTTACGAGAAATTTGCTGAGATTATAAAAAAGGATGATCGAAAATATTCGAGTTCCTTTTTTGAATTTAGTTTGCAGATAAAACTGATATGAGAATAAGTTTCTTTTTAGCAATGGTACAGTACAAGGTAAACAACGACATTGTCTTTAAATATCCTCAAATAAAAAAAAGGAATTTAATAATTGATTAGCTCGGTTAGCTTAAGAGGCTATAAAAATATTGGATCTACGTAGACTACGAAGATTAATGGATTTTTTAGAAGCCAGTTACTGGCGTGAGTGTGATGGATCGGCTTCGGCATCCAATTTGTCAGAATGTTAACGGGGTTTCAAAGATTTTATATTAGGTATATAACTCTAGAGGAACTTTGAAGTTGGGCTTTTACGGGATCGGGTCGCAAACCGGCTGACGGATCACCTGATGGTAAGCGATCGACGCCAGCTTTGGACATCTGTAACACCAACGGAGTTATGTTTATGGGATACCAGGGATTTGAATACTCTTGGAATTCCCAATTCCTATTAATGGAAATGGTTGGGGAAGGGAAGGATTGCATTTATACAAAGATACAAAAATAAATTGAAACCATTTAATTTTAGCCCATCTTTTTATATATCCGATATCTTAATAATAAATTTACTCCACCTTTTGGATATTTTAGATATACTCTTTTATTTTATCATCTCTGTTTTATGTTTTGAGTAGTCATCAAACTGTTGTTACAGATATTTTAACCTAAGATAAAATGTCTAAATGTACCAAGACTGTTGTAATTGTAAAAATACGTATATATTGTATTATTTTTTAATTTTACCAAACATTAGAATTTTATTCTGTGTCATAGGTGCACTTACAAATATAATTTTTACTTCTTACTTTACACCCAGACCTGAATCCACAATTTTTGGATCACACGAAGACTTATTCTTCGCGGTAATCGAACCAGCCAGCGAAACTATGCGCGGCAGTCGGTTGAATATAAAAAGTAAGTATAATGAAGATTTTTACATATTTTTGGCTTCCGAAAAGCTATTGGTAAGCTCTTATAATTCGTAAAATAATTAAAGTGATGCTATGGGGTAATTAAAATGAATTTGTTTGTATTCAAGTTGTGAGAAGATTTTAACCAATAGCTGTTTGACGATTCAAAGAGTAAAAAACCGTATGTAGATAAAAATAAAACTAAAGCGCGGGAACATCCAATATTTTTTCTACCATCATAACCGTTTTTTGTCAATGGCTGGATGGAATGTATGAATGGTATGTATACGAGTGTATAAAATGTATGTATGTATGTATGTAGAGCTTTGAAATACCTCTCTATAGTCCGTGAAGCATGCTCTCCCACGCCCAAGGGGTTGCATTCAGTCCATTTTCCAATGTAAATCGAATACTCCGAATCGCTTGTCGATGGTTCTGTGAAAAAAGAAAAAATAGGTTTTATATTTCTATTGATAACTTTGAAATCATAAAAGAACATAAGAATTTAAATACATAGGGTACTCTTTTTATTTTGTTTGAATTAAAAATGTTATACGTATTAGTAGTTTCTAAAAAATAATAATTGTAAACTAAAGATTATTATGGCTTGAAAAAGGACAATGAATGAATAAGCGCTAAAGAAAACAAAATAACCAATATAGTGTTTTGTTTTTAATGGCTTCTCTTTATTGAGTTAGTATACCAGCCAGTATTTAATCAATTACCTCACAATCGAATGAAACCTTTTTGAATTAAGATGAATGGAGCTTATTCTTCTTTCATTAGATAAAAGGAGAATTGAAAGAAAAGTTGTCATTATTTGATATTCATTTGCGTTCAATTGTTTTGACTTTGTAAATATAGAATCTATTGTAAATTTCGTTCGCGTAATGTTAATAAAATTTAAACATTTTGGAATCAACTTTTAACGATTTCGATTTTTGTTTTGAATATCGAATACATTAAAACCTATTTGCTGGAATTGGACATAGATAAAAAGTATTGATATAAAATGTATACGAAGGTCTCAAATCAACAGCTTATGACAACTTAAGCACACGTGCGAAGTTAACATTTTCGCAAAACGTAGCTAGTTTGAATGAAACTGTTAATTTAATGTATGAGCCGGCAGCCAGCTGTCGAGTGCTATGAGTCCTGAGGATTGACACGGTCGTATGTCAACAGTGTACACGAGTAATTTCACGTTCACAGTTTAACTCTGAATTTATGAAGTTCCAGCCTGTTCATTAGGAACTTTATGAGCTCATGTAGGTGTTATACGATGACTCAAATACTGTAGGCGCCTTCTGTAGGTGCCTAGTTAATTTAGAGTATTTGTCAGAGCTGATTGTTAGTGTTATGTGTTTTTTTGTATGGAGTATTAAATGCAGGATGCAGGTATTCGAATGTTACTATGGTGACTGCTTTGTTGGTCGTGTATCGTAATTGCGACTGCCGAGAAAGGGTTCTGAGATTCGTTTAACAGAAGGGGATTAATTTTCTCGTTCTCCGTTTTTCAAATTTTAATCTTACGGAGTCTGGTATTGTGCCAGGTATTTTGGCAATAGGCCCACTTTCCCTTTTTGAATAGTACCTATCGTGAGCAATATCAAATATATTGAAAATAACGCCTTTCTCACGTGAATTAATTGAGAAAAGCCCTACTAGTTTCAAGTCACAACGGGGCTCTTATTCATGAGCAGCGTGCGCGTCGCGGCAACATCGCCGTTAGGAGACTTGACTTTTAATTATGACATGGGTGATATAATAATGTTTAAAAAAATGGTACTGGTGGTAAAATGATGGTACTTGAAAATGTGTTTAGTTCTATATGTTTCGCAGCAGTTCATAATTGTCAATTCGATGTGTTGCTTATGGTGAAGGATATCATCGTAAGAAAACCTCTACCCTTAAAAAAAAGAAAATTTCTAATTGAAAGTTTGAAATCGCCAATTCGCCGTGAGCAAGGGTGATTAATGCTCACACCTTCTCCGTGTGAGAAAAGGTTTTTGCTCAACAGTGGGCACTTAAAAGATGATTGTGTGAAGTGATGTTATTTTCTAAAGCATATTTTTTATTATTATAATAAGTTACAATTTCAATAATATAACCTAGTTAAAACATGATCTAGTAACTGTGGGGCGTAATAGCTGAGTACATAATGAAGCTAGCAGGCCATTAATCATGAGAGACGCGGTAAGCCTGCGTTCATAATACACGAGCCTAAACGTAACGCTATTACCAGCCAGGAACACCTACCTACCTAAAATATTTATACTCGTTTCACTTTACTAGGAGTAAAATAGGCATTATTTACAAATGGCGTTTGAGAAAAATACTCTCAACCTACTTTTAAGACTCGATAAATTATTGTATCCCAACAAAATAGCAAATATTTTCTCCAGGGATACCTACCCTACCCATTCCTTTTTTTGCGCAAAACCTAATTTAAAAGCTTACAGCCTGCGCTCTTAATCTCGTTTTAGGAAAAAAATAACACACTCCATATTTCGTTCGTCCAATCCCATTTTCGTCCTCAATTTTCGTGAAAATGAAATCTTATAAAAATCTGATCACAAAATATCTAATACATAAATAGCTAGGCAAAGAGCTAAAAATCGTGAAACGACAACCAACTAATGAAAAACTTATACAATACCTATATCATTTCAGAAGATTTACGGACGCTTTTAAAAATCTCTGCGTAATTAGATTTGTGAGAGGTTCCAAAATTGATGAGCGCTAAAGGTCAGTGACCGTTTAAGTAAATACCTATTGCTACTGGTGTATTTATTTTGTATTATGTTTTTCCAATGTAACAGATGGTAATGTAGAGAAGAAATATAGAATGTTTGAAAATGTTGCACTAATGGTGCAGTGCTTAGCCGACTGAGGCGTAATGCGGAGCGAGTTAGCTTGGCAAGTTTTTTTATGGCATAGTCAGCACACGAGTCTACGGATTACCTGTTAAGCAATCGGCGCCACTCCTTTTTTTGTCACGTGAAAATCATCCAATGACTTTACCCACCCAGGGAGTCAGTAAGAGTCTGACACTCTCTCTCGCCTTACGAGAGAGAGTGTCAGACTCTTACTGACTAAAAACCCCCCCGTTCCTTCTCCTGCTCTGGGCCGAGGTCGCGGTGCCTTATTGCGTTTATCCCGTCTCTCTCTCATCTCTCTCAAATTTTTTTATATGTGTAACGCCGTAATATCAAAGAGTTACAAGTGCGTTACCGGCCTCTTACGGGTTATTAGGGATTTAAGGAAAGTTTAGTTGGCATGGAACCGTTCCGACTAGTTTCAACCTACGCGTGCGGCTCATATTCATAAGCAGCGTTGCGCGTCACCCGTCAAACTGCAGCGTGGCGAGTTATTCATCCATCAGTTAGGCAAATGAACTGATAAATATGTATAGTCATATGTTTATGTGGCACTATATGTAACACACCGTAGAAGAAAAGTTTAGTACCGATCAAAGATTTGATTAAATAAAGAAAATATATAATGCGTAGATTTATGTTATATTTTTGTAGATTTGATTTAGTCAAGTTGTATTACTGTTCTTTCCACCTAGTGACGGGTAGAAGCGAGTAGTTCCCGGACGCACCAGTTTTCACTCTGACTAATTAAGTGTACGATATCGAATTAGCCTGAGGAGAGCGATTTGTTTGCTTTCAAACCTTAATGGAGGTGCTCTGTTGTAGGGTGAC